GTGCCGTGGGAATGTCCGGCGAGCTTGAGGTGCCCACCCAAGGGTTTGGGATGCTGCTGCTGCCTGTGCCCCTGTGCCCATCCCGCGGCACCGCGCACCCCCCGGGGCTTTCCACGGCTCAAGGCTCCGTTTGTGGCGCTTCCAGCCGCTTTTCTGTCCCCGTCACCCGCAGGGGATGAGCCCGAGCCGGGCTGTGCCGCCGGCGGGCCGGGGCGAGGGCACGGCTGCGGGCTGGGCACAGCGGGGCTGGCAGGGCAGTGGGGCTGGCAGGGCTCAGGGGGCACAGCGGGGCTGGCAGGGCTCAGGAAGCCGCTGGAGCCGGCTCGGGCCGCTGTGCCAGCCCCGGCCCCGCGGCACCCACGCAGCCCCGGCCCCGCGGCCGGACACGCCCCGCGGGCCGCGCTTTGCATCGGGGCCGGCGGGGAAAATCCCCGCGGGGCTCCGGAGCTGCCCGGGAAGGGACACGGGCGGGCCGGGGGCACGGGCGGGGATGGGGGGCCCAGGGTGGATGGGGGGCTCAGGGAGGGAATGGGGTGTCCAGGGTGGGGTGTCCATGGGGAGATGGGGTATCCGTGGTGGGGATGGGGTGTCCATGGCGGGGTGGGGGTGTCCAGGGTGGGGATGGGGGGGTCCAGGGAGGGAATAGGGGGCCCAGGGTGGGGATGGTGGTCCAGGGTGGGGTGTCCATGGTGGTGGGGATGGGGTGTCCATGGTGGGGTTGGGGTGTCCCTGGTGGGAATGGGGTGTCCCATGGCAGGGATGGGGTGTCCATGGTGGGAATGGGGTGCCCAGGGTGGGCATGAGGTGTCCCATGGCAGGGATGGGGTGCCCAGGGTGGCGATGGGGTGTCCATGGTGGGAATGGGGTGTCCATGGGGGGATGAGGTGTCCATGGGGGGATGAGGTGTCCATGGGGGGATGAGGTGTCCCATGGCAGGGATGGGGTGTCCATGGTGGGAATGGGGTGTCCCATGGCAGGCATGGGGTGTCCATGGTGGGAATGGGGTGCCCAGGGTGGGCATGAGGTGTCCCATGGCAGGGATGGGGTGTCCATGGGGGGATGAGGTGTCCCATGGCAGGGATGGGGTGCCCAGGGTGGCGATGGGGTGTCCATGGTGGGGTTGGGGTGCCCAGGGTGGGCATGAGGTGTCCCATGGGCGGATGAGGTGTCCATGGTGGGCATGAGGTGTCCCATGGCAGGGATGGGGTGCCCACGGTGGGCACTGGGGTCCCACAGCAAGGACGGTGGCCCATGGTGGTGCCAGGGTGGGGACAGGACACCCACGGCAGGGTCCCTTGCCCTGTAGCCACCCCCCATCAGTGTCCCCGAGCCTACCTGGGGGCGGTGGCCCTGGGGACCGTCCCGGTGGCTTTGGGGCCGCGGCTCTGGCGGCGGGAGAGCGGCCCCGGCCCTGCGGGGAGCTGCCGCTGCCCAGGGACGCCTCGGCGGCCGGGGGCGAGCTGCCGTGGGCGGCCTCGGGCAGCGGCACCGGGCTCTGCGGGACACGCGGGGGTCAGGGAGAGTACCCTCGGGACCCCCGGGGACACG